TTTAGAACCACATAGCTCCAAAGCCTTGTATCCATCAAAATGACTTTAGAGTCTCACATGCCTTACTCTCTTTAAAGATAGGGAGCCTTACCATCCTTCATAATTGCTACCATTTGTAATTTTTAGCCATAAGCCATGGGGTCCTAATGCCTTGAGCTATCACTAGAAACCTCCAATATGGATCTTTGAATACACCTTCACAGTGCCGAGATGTTCCTTAACCCATTTTTTTGTCTATTTATATTTTTTTTTCTATATTGATAAGACACAGATGACGAAGAAAGACACAAAAATATCAAAAAAAAATAAGAAAGAAAAGTAAGAATATCAAAATGGATTACATACATCCAGGAGAAGCTTCCAATTTGAATATTTTTCTCAAACTAATCAAAATGGATTACATACATCTAGGAGAAGCTTCCAATTTGAATATTTTTCTTGAACTAATTTATGGTTTGTTTTTCTAATTAAATATATTAATTTATCATCGGAACAAAAGGAGATTTTTGAACATCATGGACTGATTTAGCTAATGAACCAAAACATAATACGGGGCACTAATTATGTTTGCTAAGCTTTGTCGATTTGAAATAGTTTGTTACATAAAGTAGGTTTAAAAAACATGTATTTCGTAAGAAAAAAATATTTTTTAAAAGGGTTAAATTCAATTACGATATTTCAATACACAATTTGAATTTAATTGTGCATGTATATTTAAAAATACATTAAAATTATTGTTTCATATCTTTATTTTTATACAATATATAATAAATATGATATACAAATACATATTAATTTATTTTTTTAGTTCCTATCGAGATAAGCATGTGAAATTCTTTTTTAAAAAAAATTAAATAGGAATCGGGTCCCCGAGAACCTGACCCGTAATCAACGCATGGTCATCTTCTTGTTGACCCGAATTGTAAAATGACCCTAATGACGTCACGCTTCGCTCATTAACACGTTTCAACTCTGTGCTCTGCACATGGCAATACCGATATGCTCATCTCTATATATAATACCATCCCGAAAACCCACAACTCAAAACTTAAATCAGACAACAATGGCGGCTTCTTCCATCCTCTCACTCTTACTTTTTGTCCTCTTCTCGTCAGTTCCCTCTGTAATTTCAACTCTTCAACAAGATTTCACCTTTTGTTTCCTTCAAAATTCCGAGCTTTCTTCTCCTATCTCATCTGCATTTTACAGTCAGAGCAATGCTTCCTTCACTTCTTTCCTCGAATCCTCTGCTCAAAATCTCAGATACTTAACACCATCAATGCCGAAACCAGAATTCATCTTCACACCTTTCCACGAAACCCACGTCCAAGCAGCTGTTATCTGCTCTAAACAACTCAATATCCATCTCAGAATCCGCAGTGGAGGCCATGATTATGAGGGTTTGTCTTACGTTTCACAGATCGAGTCGCCTTTCATCATAGTTGATCTTTCCAAGCTCCGGGGAATCTACGTCGACATCGAAGATGACAGCGCTTGGGTTCAGGCTGGTGCAACTATTGGTGAACTTTATTATAGAATTGCAGAGAAGAGCAACATCCATGGATTTCCTGCAGGACTCTGTACCAGTTTAGGCATTGGAGGTCACATTACAGGAGGTGCTTATGGTCCTATGATGAGAAAATATGGACTTGGTGCTGATAATGTTGTAGATGCTCGAATTGTTGATGCCAATGGGAGAGTCCTTGATCGTGCCTCCATGGGAGAAGATCTGTTTTGGGCAATCAGAGGTGGTGCAGGAGCAAGTTTTGGTATAATTCTTGAATGGAAAGTCAGATTAGTTCCTGTTCCAGCAATGGTCACAGTTTTTACCGTTACTAAAAGTTTAGAACAGGGAGCAACTGATATTTTATATAAATGGCAACAAGTAGCTGCTGAGAAACTTGATGAAGATCTTTTCATTAGAGTAATCATACAGAAAGGATCAGGAACCGTAACAACATCATATAATGCTCTGTTTCTCGGCGGGGTTGATAGACTTCTGCAAATAATGAAAAACAACTTTCCTGAATTGGGTTTGACACAGAAAGATTGTATTCAAACAAGTTGGATCAGATCAGTTCTTTATATTGCTGGGTACCCAGGAAATACCAAACCGGAGATTCTACTTCAGGGAAAATCAACATTCAAGAATTACTTCAAAGCAAAATCAGATTTCGTGAAAGAACCCATTTTGAAAACCGGGTTGGAAGGGATTTGGAAGAGGTTTCTCGAAGAAGACATTCCATTGATGATATGGAATCCTTTTGGAGGGATGATGAGTAGGATTTCTGAAAACGAAATTCCTTTTCCTCACAGAAAGGGAAACTTGTTCATGATTCAGTACGTGAATGCATGGCAAGACGGTGAAAAGAACATGGGTAAACACATGGAATGGATTAGGAAACTGTATAATTATATGGCTCCTTATGTGTCCATGTTACCTCGAGGTGCTTACGTGAATTACAGAGATCTTGATCTGGGGATGAACAAGAAGAATAATACAAGCTTTATACAGGCAAGTGTATGGGGAGTTAGGTACTTCAAGGATAATTTCAACAGGCTGGTGAAAATCAAGACCAGATTTGATCCTGGAAATTTCTTCAGGCATGAGCAGAGCATTCCTCCACTTCCACTTCCACTTCAAATCTAAAGAGAAGAAGAAGAAGAAGAAGAAGAAGAAGAAGGAGAACTGGGCTTACTTAATATTCTTGCCTAATGCTAATTATGAGTAAATTAGGGTTGTAGGTAGGTGGGTAAGAACACAGAAATAATAAATGCTAAGTTATATATATATATATATATATATATATATATATATATATATAATATATATATATATAGTAAAGTGTTAAGAAATGTGTAGAAGAGTGATGTAATGGTCTTGGCATTTATATGATTTTCTTCAAGGCTTTAATTTCTCTGTCAATCTCTTCAACTACTACTAGTTATATTAGAATTTAATTCTAACAAGTGTTTAAATTCTATATATAAATAATTTATTTAACTCGTTAGATTATTGATTCGAGTCGAACAGTATTTTTATATATAATTTTATTTAAAAATTATTTATATTATATTATGAACGAAGTATATATATCTTTTAGTTGATAAATGAATTATTATAAACGTTGAAAACTCAATTATAACTTAAATTTGATCTCCGTATACTAATTTTCATCTGGCTCATGTCCGTATCGATCATTATACGATATTATTTGGAAGTGCTAATTATTTGCGTTCTCTAAATTATGTTTGGATTAAGGTAAGACGGAGAAAGAAAAACGAGATGATACTCACTGTTATTTTTTTTTTGTTTATATAAAAATAATAATTAATAAAAAAAAATAAGATAATATTTGTTCGAGATTTAAATGTGGGTTGACATTTTTTATCGAGATTTTTTAAAATAGTATTTTCATTTTTTTTTCGTTCTTTATGATTTTTTTTTAAATATTTTGAACAATTATGTAATGGTGAAAAAAAAATTATTTAATTTATAAATCCAAAAAAAAATAAAAAGAAAATACTCATTATTATGAATTTAATATATATATATATATATATATATTTTACCCTTCTAAATTATAAATAACACGTGCACAAATATAATCAAACATACACATCATCTTTTGACTTACTCATAATGACAATTAAGATGATAATTTTCTGTTGGTTATTATCATTATTATTTATTTTATTATTTATTATATTTTTATTATTATTTATTATTTTATTATTTTTATTTTTATTATTTTATTATTATTATTTATTTTATTTATTGGTTTTTTATTTTTATTTATTTTATTTATTATTTTATTATTTTTATTTTTATTTTTATTTTTCTGTCATTTTTTTATGTCATTTTTTAGCCTGCTATTATATTTTACATATGTAAGCCTTAAAACACAAGCCGACCTTAGCTCAGTTGGTAGAGCGGAGGACTGTAGTGGTGCAGATAATCCTTAGGTCGCTGGTTCGAATCCGGCAGGTCGGAATATCACAATTTTTTCATTTCAATTTTAAGATTATTCTAAAGCATACATACAGCCATTGATTTTAAAACTTCATATTTTTTTTTCTAAATCATAATTATAACGTTTTTTTATTAAAATCAAATTATGGTTACAATGAAATTCCCGTAATATCAACCGGAATTAATGCGTTTTAATATTTTAATTAACATTATAACATCTCTAACTTTAACGAAAACTTCATTCTTCAATTAAAATGTTAATTAATTTTTATTTATAACACTGTAAATGCTTTCAGATTCTTTTGTGTAACGTTTTAACTCGTAAAGAAGCAAAAAATGTAAACGGTATTATATATAAATCATATTATGTGTACAAAAATATTGAGGAACAATGGGGAAATCAAAGTTCTATCTCATCTTTACATTATCTTGTTTCGTGTTTACTCTTTCTTCAGCACTTCTTCAAACTATTCCCGCATTGTTTGCCGATTGTCTTGTTAGGAATTCTCCATCTGCTGATATAGGAAAACTGTTTTACCCTCACTATTCCCCTTCCTACTCATCCATCCTCGAGTCTACTGTCCAAAATCTTAAGTTTAACTCCTCCTCGCTGCAACCCTTCTTCATCATTACACCGTATAATGTTGATGATGTTAGATCTGCAGTGATCTGCACACAAAACTTCAACCTCCAACTAAGAGTTCGAAGTGGAGGTCATGACTATGAAGGCTTGTCTTACAAAGCAAACGCGCCTTTTGTTCTCGTTGATCTTGTCAACCTTCGACGTGTGAGTGTAGACTTAGAGAATCAAACTGCTTGGGTTCAATCTGGTACTACATTGGGTGAGTTGTATTATCAGATTGGTAATCGTAGTCAAGAACTTGGTTTTCCTGCTGGAACTTGCCCTACAATAGGTGTTGGAGGACATTTTAGTGGTGGAGGGAAAGGTACATTAACAAGAAGTTTTGGCCTTGCGGCTGATAATGTTCTTGATGCAGTTTTGGTTACAGCTAAGGGTGAAATTCTCAATAGGACATCAATGGAAGAAGAGGTGTTTTGGGCTATCAGAGGAGGTGGAGGGGCAAGCTTTGGTGTGATTGTTGATTGGAAGATCAGGTTGTCTCCTATTCCTGAAAAAGTTACTGTCTTCACCATCTCTAAAACACTGCAACAAAATGCGACAGAAATCATATATAAGTGGCAAGAAGTTGCGCCTGAGTTACCGAAAGAGCTATTCATTAGACTCGTCTTAACAATTGGCAAAGACTCTCAAGGAAACACAACTGTGATGGCCATATTTAGGGGCTTGTATCTTGGAAATGTTAATAGTCTGGTTTCCTTGATTAACAAGAAACTCCCAGAACTTGGCTTAGCTACCAAACAATGCCAAAAGATGAGTTGGTTAGAGTCTATATTATTCTTTGATCGAGGCCTAAGACCAGGAGAATCTGTAAGTATTTTAATGGATCGTAATCGTTTATACACCAAAGGTTTCTTCAAAGCAAAATCAGATTTTGTTACTCAACCTATTACACATGAAGGGCTAGAAGAAATATGGAAGGTAATAAAAGAAGGTGATTCAGGTGTTTTGATTTTGGATCCTTTTGGTGGGAAAATGAATGAAATTCCAGATTCCGAAACACCGTTTCCATTCAGAAACGGAACATTGTACAGTATACAATACTTCACCAGTTGGCGAGATCCTAAACCAGAGGTAGAGATGAGTAAGATGGAGTGGATTAACCGAGTCTATAACGCTATGACACCTTATGTTTCCATGAACCCTAGGACTGCATATCTTAATTACAGAGATTTAAGCATTGGAATGAATGCATTTGGGAAGCATACCTACTTTTCTGCAAAATTATGGGGTGAAAAATACTTCAAGGGCAACTTCCCAAGACTAGCACAAGCAAAAGCCAAGGTGGATCCATTCAATTTTTTCAAGAATGAACAAAGCATCCCTCCTCTGTGGCTCAACATTTAAAACCTGTAATTTTCTTGAGTTAGGAAACTTAACTTTCTTCACGAATTCATGGATAATAAATACTTGATTAAGACAAATAAGTAAGTTGTCTAAATGGATACCAAATCTTCTGTCCAATTTCTTTCTAGTATAAAAGTTATTAGGTTTTCTTGCCTGCCTTTAACATGAACTAGTAACTGATGATTCATGAATAATGAGAAAATAATATGATTAACAAGCATGAATAAATGAGAAAAAGCAAAAGCCGCAAAGCATACATGTATATGTTGTGTGTACATATATATATATATATATATGTACACACACACATAAATGTGGTTGTGATTAACTGATATCAACATACTTCAGATAATGGGGGAAAAGACGGCATCTGGTTCTTCTAACTTTCTTTATAGTAATATTATCTTTGACTCTTGATGGACAAAAAGATGAACATAACACCAAAAGTAGAGATATAGATGATAATATGAGCTGGATTTTCAGTAAGAAAAGAATCTTAGTAAGAAGGAATCATGTATGGAGAAGTTTGGGTTTACATATGGATCGATCCCCCACCATTTTTGATGATAGACATAAGCTTTTTATATATAAATTAGCATTCTTCTCATACACCCACCAAATCACATTGGCTTCCATTAGAGAACCTTATTAGTCTATAATGGAGAACACAAGTATGTGCAAGTTTTGCAGAGAACGATTCAAGGTAGCGACTATAAGAACCCAAAACACAATAAGTCGGTGCCCTGGGTGCAATCAAATCAACACAAGTATACCCTCTACTTCTACTCTTGCCTCAACTTTGATCAGATCATCATTGTTATCACAGACTCCAGCTTGCACTATTGACAGATTTTGCAGTCATAAACTGAAAAAGAAGCTTTCTGCAACTGCTGTTTCTCTGAATTGTAACCCATCACCTCTCTTAAGTCGGTCTCATACACGGCAGGATCAACCGAGAAAACGAGCTTTGCTTATTGGAGTGAGTTACAAGAAGTTTAAGTACAAGCTTAAGGGAACCATAAACGATGTCTGCAACATGAGAGATTTCTTGATCAACGACCTCTCGTTTCGACACAACAACGTCCTTGTCCTCACCGGTATGTTACCTTCTTCCTTCTCCTCTCATCATCTTCTTCTCCAAATCTACGTTGACGAAAGAGTAGAAAACTGAGTTGGTGCAGAAAAGGAGGCAGATTCGAGTCTAATTCCGACAAAGAAGAACATAGAAATGGCGTTGAAATGGCTTGTGGAGGGCACCAAGTCGGGTGACTCACTGGTGTTTTACTTCTCCGGACATGGGTTGCGACAGCCTGATTGGAAAGAGGACGAGAATGATGGGTTTGATGAAACAATTTGTCCCACTGATTTTATGGAAGAAGGAACGATCCTCGATAGAGACATTCACTCCATCATCGCCTCTCCACTCGAACAAGGTGCTAATCTTCATTCCATTGTCGATGCATGTCAGAGTGGAAACATTCTTGATCTCCCATATATATACAACTCACATCTGTAAGTAATTACAGTAACTATACTAAATTTTTGTTTCTAAATAAAAGAAAATCATCTTACTGTTGTTAGTTGAAATTGATTGAAAACTTTTAACAAATAGATTAACTCTAAATAATACTTTTCTTGGTGGAAGAAAGAATAATGAGAGATCATTAGAAAAACTCAAATCTTAAATTTTGTATTCAAGTAAACTTATGCTTCCCTATGTTCTCTTTTGAAGATTATGTTTTATTGTGTTATAATATATATATATATATATATATATATATATTGGATCAATTAACGTATGAATTTTTACTGACAAATTAATAGGAAGAAGTGGGAAGACAGAAGTCCTCACTATGGCATCTGGAAAAACACTAGAGGTGGATGGGTCACTGCAATCAGTGCTTGTGAAGATGATCAAGAGTTTGCTGATACCACCGTATGTTAATATACATACATATGCCTACATATATATATATATATGTATAGTCTTTTACTCCATTTGTTTTTCAATATATAATTGGAGTTTTATTTTGTTGTTTATAGGCATCCACAAGAAATACAAAGAATGGAGTCTTAACATATCTGTTAGTAGATTTGTTTAAGAAATGCCCTGGATTAACTTATGGCGAGGTGCTTGATACGATACATGAAGATTTTCAGAGGGTTAACAACGAGGGAGGATGCCTTGCTACTTCAAAGATCTTCAGAAGAATTTTCCAAAACTCATCTCAAGTAAGTTCAAATTCATTAGTTTTTGTTCATCATATATCTACTATATGATTCTGATAATATAAATCAATTGGTGAGTCATGTGATTTACATATATATGTGTGTATATGTATATATATATATATATGATTATTGATATGAATGAATATGTATTTGCAGAGGCCTCAACTTTCTTCTTCCAGAATGTTTGATGTTTATAATACTCCCTTTACATTTGGTGACTGTAAGATCTAAGAAGAATCCAGTGAAGTCTCGAGGCAGTATCGTGTGTATATGTATTTGTCTGAGGTGAAGGGTGTCAGCATCAAATTTGCAAGCAATTCATGCCCTTCAGAAAGGATAACGACACCATTAAAGACAAAACCAAATACATCATTCAAATGCCAAACAGTATACAAATATATATATATATATATATATATATATATATAATAGAATAGAACCAGACGAAATAAGTTGCATCAGCTGACAATAGAGAATCTCTAGAGACCATGTTCATCTTCTTCTATTCAATTTACTCTCATGGATATTTTGGTTAAAACCCAAATCCTTCTGCAACTCTTTCTGTTTCATCACCACCTTCAAATCTACTATTAACAAATCTCGCCTCTTGCTATCTTCATCTTCATCTTCTCATATACAGTACTAGCAAGCTGACCTCACTCTTCCCACAACCAACCAAGACAAAAGCAACTCATTCATCTGTTTACTTAAACTCAAGCCCGTATGATGAGGTGCTCTCCACTTGTAGTCTTTGTGCTTTTGCTTTCTGCTAACTGGGTTTTCTCCGACTTGATCCAAGAAATGTTTGTGCCTTGCATGTCAACCTACTTTGGGGCCTACACAAAGAATATGGAGATCATGCACACACCAAACTCTTCTTTATATTCATATATTCTTCAATCTTCTATGCAAAATCCCAGATGGGTAAACTCCACTGCCTCAAAGCCTCTTCTTGTCATGACACCATTCCATGAATCTGAAATCCAAGCAGCAATCATTTGCAGCAGAAGATATGATCTGCAAATCAGGATAAGAAGTGGAGGACATGACTACGAAGGCCTGTCTTACCTCTGCGCCACCCCATTCATCCTCATAGATCTCGTCAATCTCAGGTCAATCACAGTTAATATTGAAGACGAAACAGCTTGGGTCCAGTCTGGTGCAACCCTCGGTGAGCTCTACTATGCCATTGCTAAAAGAAGCGGCATCCATGGATTCCCTGCTGGACTGTGCTCTACTGTAGGGATTGGTGGGCATTTAACTGGAGGGGGATTCGGGACAATGGTGAGAAAGTATGGTCTTGCGGCAGATAACATCTTGGATGCTTACCTGATCGATGTTAATGGAAGAGTTATGAACAGAGAAACAATGGGGGAGGAGTTGTTCTGGGCTATAAGAGGAGGTGGTGGGGCAAGCTTTGGGATCATCCTCTCATGGAAGATCAAGCTTGTTCCTGTTCCAAAAACTGTGACTGCTTTCACAGTCTCAAGAACGCTTGAAGAAGGTGCCACAAAGCTGGTTCACAGGTGGCAATACATTGCACATAAAATGCATGAAGATCTCTTCATCAGAATCATCATTCAAAACGTATGTACCAGCAACAAAAGAACCGTGCAAGCTTCTTTCGATTCATTGTTTCTTGGAGGGATTGACAGGCTAATCCCATTGATGAGTGCAATCTTCCCCGAGCTCGGGTTAAAACCCAAAGACTGCAATGAAATGAGCTGGGTTGAATCAGCCCTGTACTTTGCTGAATTCAAGAAGGGGCAGCCATTAGAAGTTCTACTGGGTAGGACACTACTATCCAAGAGCAATTTCAAGGCAAAATCAGACTTTGTGCAGGAACCAATACCTGAATATGGACTTGAAGGGATATGGGAAAGGTTTCTTGAGGAGGATTTACCAATGATGATTATGGATCCCTTTGGTGGAAGAATGGATCAGATTTCCGAATCTGATGTACCATTTCCACACAGAGAAGGTAATTTATACAACATACAGTACCTGGTTAGGTGGGAAGACAACAGAATAGAAGAATCAAATAGGCATAAGAACTGGATTAGAATGCTTTACAGGTACATGAAACCATTTGTTTCTAAGTCACCAAGGGCTGCATATTTCAACTTCCGAGATTTGGATTTGGGGATCAACAATCACACCAAGACAAGCTACTCAGAAGGAAGAGTCTGGGGCCTGAAATACTTCAAGGGTAATTTCAGGAGATTGGCACAGGTGAAGAGCAATGTTGACCCAGATAATTTCTTCAGAAGTGCACAGAGTATTCCTCCTCTTCCTGCACCAAGAAAATTGCAGAATCAATAGACAATAGGAATAAAAAAAGAAACACCATGGATCGAAAAACGGTCTATTCTGTATCCAGCCACTAGCTTCATGGGGAACTTATCATTGAGCCCCAAAAATTGATACACATGATTCCTGCAGCTCATTTTGGAGAGGCCCAAGATCAATGCATAGAGCGAATGAAGCAACTGCAGTTAAGAGAATGCAATGAGATTGACATAAATCTATTGCAAAAAATAGGGTATGAAGCCAGAAATAAGTCTTTTTCTCTATGAGAAATTAACTAAAATAGAATTTTTTCTGAGATATATTAGCAATGATAGAATTTTAAGTTGTTCAACTTTATTTATGATTAAAACAGCATAAAAGAAGTTTCTAAAAATGCAGATTATTTGTTCTATAGTTCATTTCCAGCTCCAGTTCCGTTATATCATAGAACCTTCACTTACCCTTTTTGTTCACCCTTTTGCTAACAATATTCATTCTGAAACTTGTTACATCACTCATCAGGGAAAAAAAAAACTTAATGAAATTCTTCTCTCTGGTTTCTGTAAGCCTCTTATTTTCCCAATTAAGACTGACTCTGAAACAGAAGCCAGAAACAACAAAAGTATTCAAAGGAAGAAAGCCTCAGAAACAAATCTTGTTCTTCAGCAATTGTAAGAAAGGTCCCAACCAAAACTTAAAAAAGAATTCAAGTAGGGTAACTTCACAGGATTACAAATGACAATTTCAATAATACTAACAACATTGATCTACTTCCAACATCCTGTAAGAAAACAAAGAACTATTGTTATTCAACATGCCATCAGATGATGCAGCCGCATACTGGTTCAGAAAAGCAAAAGGAGCAACAGACACTAAAGGAATACATTATTTCAAAAAAAGAAAAAAGAAAAAAGGACATTAAGTAATACAAAAAAGATCTACACCCGCTCATCTTGGAAAAAAAAAGATCTAAGCCTGCTCTCTCTCTGTCTCAACTAACTATTCACATTGTAGACTCTTGTACAATTTCTTACATCTGCTCTGGTGTCACCAAACCAGGATATTGTAAAAGGCTGGGTAAAAAAGCCTGCTGCTCCTTACTCAACAAAGAAAACCATTTCCTAATAAGATCTGTGGTATCAGACAGACCTGCATCGACTGGAAATGCTACCTGACTCTCCATAACTTGGTTGAAATCAAGAGAGAGAAGCCTCAGCAAGGCACTAACAGTAGCAATTTGGATAGGAAGGCCTCCTCTGATGGTAGCCTCTTGCTGCAGAAAAGCAGCCAATTTATCTGTTAAGTCTTCGACGTCTTTATCTTTGCAGCCACCAGCATCAACAGCTCGCCTGAAAAGAAGACACAATTAGACTCATCAAAGACCAGAGGAAAGATGTCAAAGCACTCTCAAAACTCCCAAAAGAACAGCTAATTTGTTCCTCAATTTTATTATCATGTAGCACGTCTACCACAAATCAACAAAGAATGTATACTATATAGTATATCATATAAACCAATGAGTTTAGCTAGCGGAGCAAAGGATGGAATAAAGTAGCTTTGGAACAAGGATGGAACACAATGACTGAATGGAGGTTATAACAAAATGCGATTACCTTGCATTGTCAGGTTCTTATGTGAATTAAATTGCATTACTTGGTAGGTAAAATTGGAAAAGAAAGTGAAATAAGTCCTAAATGACCAACATAACATTTTTAAATAAAAGATTTATTTCTAAATTATGAATTTAACAAAAATATAAAACAGAAAATTGAGAAAGGAAAGTGTTAGATTTCTGTCATGGATGCTAGCCCCACAACTCTGCTCTGTTGAATGGCGTTGATGGGAGGACACAACAAATCTAGCAGTCATGCGATGTCAATGGTGCGACACCGGCCCCCTAATGGCAAAAAGACTGCAGATCTAGCTCACAGAAAGAGACACTAGACTGCAAATCCTGCATTCTTGCAAAATTATGGACATAGATTTCAAAGGAAAAGAGACACTAGAGAGAGGTGGAATTGGTTTCCACAATGAGAAAGTGAAAGAGCTTGTGATCCACAGGCTTCATGCAATAGAAACAGCTTGGTGTGCAGACAGCGGTTCGAGCAATAGCCAGCAGTCCGTTACTGGCTAAGTGATAGTCAGGTGGTGGTCACCAGAAAAAATTTAGAGGCTGAAATCCCAATGCAGACTTACTCATAAATCCCTATTACACTATCTTCAGTAAATAGCAATTTATTGTAGTTGCTATTTATATGTTTTAGAAGACCAATCAAACAAATGAACACCTACTACGCATGCAAAGGCTACTCCATTCATGGCTTAAGCTAACCAAACACACATTAACTTTTTAACTCTTAAGTTGTCTTGGGATCTCAGACATGCATCTTGCTGACCAGAATATTTGAATTCAAAACACAGATAGCAGATAACGAGAATCAAGAACACTAAAATTTGAAGAACTGATTCTGCCGGAGAAAATTACCTCCCAAGTTGACCGAGTAGAATAACAATAGCAACAGATAAGTTCTCTACCATTGATGATTCCAATATTTTAAATAACGGAGGAACAATCTTCTCATGTATCCAATCCCAGCCCTGTATTTTGAGAGAGAAACATTTAGGGAGTTCAGTATGAGACTCAAGTCCAATAAGAGAATGATGGTTACCAGGAAAAGAAATTTAACAATATATTTTTACTCTATATACGCAATCTTAAAATTGTTTTAGAATGGTATAATCATGTAATTGTGACTTCGTGATTCATACGTACAATAAGAAACATAGGACAAGACGAGTAATAATTATCTTTTGAAAGAAAAAAGTATTCAAGATGAGTAATAATTAAGAAACCCCAAAAAGAAAAGCTGCAAAATACCAAAATCAATAATCAATATTTAACTAACCATCAGAAGCAACTAAATAGAAAATCATACTATAAATCTCATTTCATGCAACAAAACTGAAAAATTGCATTATAAAATCCATAAGAAACAATACTTAATAATATAAATCAAAAAAAGAGACTCGCATGAATTGCCTGAACTGCGTACTTAAATGTAAAGGTTAATAATTCATAATGTGAATACTTATCCAACAAAGTGCAAAATGTAGAAACTTCCACAGAACCAGGAGGTGGTCAAATTAATATAAGATCTATTGGGTATTGAAAAACAACTATAACTCCTAAGATAGGGCATGGTAATCTTCTGCAATTCATCCAACTCTAGCTGACTACCAAGCAGTGTCCTTCATATTCGAACTAGCACAAGAAGCTACGGTTGATCAAACAACTATAACTACTATAACTTCATAAAAGATTATTAGCTACCAACTCTCATGGCTAAAACAAATTCAGGAAGTTGAAGAAGTTTGATCATACGATATTATAAAAGCCTACTCTCAAGGATGTCACAAGACACCTTCCGATGTTGTATGCAATCCCACATGATAAGCATGTCAAAGTAAGAAACAATAATCATTGTAGTCCAAGTTGGTGAGAGACATACCATATTGGCTGCAACCAACTCTACCAATGAAAGGACATCAGTGAAGTGGCATAAAGTCCCAACTTCAGCAGGCTCTGATGGGATCCCATGCACCCCATACTTGCTTAAAGAACAGGATGTATCACAGTTTGTACCAAATGAACAATCAACATCTTCATGCCTCAAACTAAATCCAGTCTTGTGCATATTGGATAGGAGACCAGCATTCACTGTATTGATCTCACCTTGATTCATGGTCCCAAATTGAGCATAATTTTGAAGTGTTTCAACGAGAAAGAAAATAGCAGAATCCACAGAAACAGCACCCTCTGAAAATGGGCAAGTAGCAAATAGATGGAACTCAGATTGAACCTTGCCAGTAGATGAATGGCAGAACTCCATAGTAACATCCAGATGTCCTTTTTCAAGGTATGTGACAACTGATTTCAAGACTGTGATTATTAAACTATATGACCTCAACGTGAAAAATCTTTGCCTACCCAGGTAAGCAAAAATATGAAGAATGGTCAGCAACACTGATGTATCATATGCACGCAAAAGGAGCATGTTGCAAGAAACCTCACAAATGAACCCAATCTGATCAGAGGCTGCACAGAGTGATGCTAATATAACACTCCCCGCCACCAAAAGGTCAGCTGAAGCTAATCTTTTTGACAATATTAAATTCATTCCATCCAGAAAAACATTGATTTTTGAATCACATCGAACATGCGTTTCAGAAGATCTATCAGCATACACTATTCTGCCATCTGAAAGGAAATCTCCAATGAGACTCAGCAAACTATGAAACATATCAGCAATCATGGATCTTCCCTCAGCATCGTACATCACTATAAAAGAAAACAAGAGTGTGAGACCAACAAACCAGGAGAAATATATGAAACAAATGTACTGAAAGACTCCTAAAACTGTGACATATATAATGATATATTAAGAGAATACAAATAACAAACCTGTACTTAAATGGCAATGGAAAGCATCCAAGAAGGATCTGAAATTGTTATTTATAAAGCTCCCATATTTTCCCAAATCAGTGACGGAGAACTGTAGTAGTAACAACGAGAAAAATACACAAGCCTTTTCCCTAATATAAGCCAAATGAAAAACAGAGAGGGAATAGATCAGATCCAAGGACTACTGTTACAAACTCCACAAGTGGGAAATTAATTCCTTTGGTGAAGTGTATCAAAGGAAGAAAAGAAAATTATGTAATTCATAATATATGTATGCGGAGTAGAATATTATGATTGTGTGTATATTTACTGTCATGTGGTGATATATGTAATATGTGTACTATGTGTCTAATAGCTAGGAAGAAAGAATAAGTCTAGGATAAGACTAGGAGCAGTTATAGCAGCTATGTGCCAATCTGCAAATAAACTTCCAGCATAACCGTCCCTTCTGTGTAATAAAACTGGGCTGTCTCTTTTTGACAGCATTATGAATGAAGCAGCACATTCAAGTACAGGGTACTTTCTTAATCAAGAGATTGTAGGGTTCTCTCTTGATGAGCCCTTGAATTAGATTAAAAATAGGAAAAGACAGAAAACTCGAAAGCATCATAGAGGTCCTAATGATTTCTATGTTTCAAGACCCATAACTAGATCAATAACTGGGATCAAAACAGCTACATATTAACTAATTGAGGAATAATCCCAAGTAATTTCAGAAAGCTCCCATCCCCGAGCAGTGATGGAGAATTTTAGTAACAACGAGAAGAATACACAAGCCTCTTACCTAAAATAAGCCAAATGAAAAATAAAATGGAAATAGATCAGCTCCAAGCACTACATATTAACTAACTGAGAAATAATTCCAAGTAAAAATAAGTCCACTACAAATTTAAAGAAATAATCAACTTGCTAAGAAGTCTAACAGAGAAACAACACTACACCATTTTGAATGCAAGAACCACTTACTGGACTAAAAGGTTTTCCTCCTTCATAGCAAGCAAAATGTTTTTCACCGCCCACCCTGTTTGAGTCACTAAAGCACACCGATTCATACAAGTTTTTGTGGCATGAAATATTTTAGTAGTAGTGCTTTGGTCCTTGATATTAGAAAAAGAAACAAAATATTTAGGAAAATTTGTGTGTTTATATCCAAGTTCATTGCCAAACAGAATCTTCATCCCATCATCTCCAGCACCTGGAATAACTGACATTGCCATTTCCATTTCCGAGTTTCGCTTATGACTTACCCAAGTTTTCTGAGATTTTGTTATATCAGAGAAACCATTGCAATTATTCTCCAGCAAACCAAAAGAACCAAGAGGACTTTTATTCTGATCCAATAATGAATTACAAGAAAGTTCAGAGCCATTAGAGTTCAAATTGTTGGAATCAAGCTTTCCATTGATGACATCAATGCTGCAAGAAGGCTGATGACTGTCCAACTTTTTAGATCCATTTTCAAGGGAGTTTCCCTTCATCAAAGGTTCCAAGTTATCTACAACAAAATCCTCAACATGCTGGAATCCAATTTCAGGAAGAGTAGGGGACAGAGGCATTTCCATTACTTTCTTGTAGTATTCTTCATCACTAGCATTTTCCAATTCCAACAACTTCATATAGTCCCCATTGGCTGCCTCCTCAAAGCATATCCTACCTTCAAGTCCATTTGCAACAGAATCACATATGGCCTCTCTGCAAGCCAGTCCAGCTCCTATTAGATTATTGGCAGGTTGAAATGCTTCTCCACACCTATTTGAATCTTCCTGGACTACAGTCTTCAATTTTCCAATCTTCAACTTATCAGAATTATCAACATGCTTCATTACCACTTCTGCTTCATGAGATGCTTTTCTCTTCTTGTGAACTCTGCTGTCCTTACCATGTGAACCACTTTGCAGATTAGGCACTGAAGATCTCTCCTTCACAGGTTTGTCTGCTTTTCTATCTAACATGTCATGCAAAACAGATAGCCTCTCTTCTATCTGCAAATGCCACTTCTTATTTTTTGAGCACAATGATCCAATGGATTCAATTGTATCTAGCATCCTCTTTCTCTTTTTACTATGCCCAGTAACTCCTTCAATGACGTTAATGTGAGAAGAACTTCTAACACAATTGTCAGCCACAATGGCAAGATTCTCATTTTGCATCTTTTCTTCCCCAGATATACTGGAATTTGATTGTTGACAAGTTGGCTTCTGTTCTGGCATTTTTGTTGATGTGGTGACAGAAAAGGCACCTTTGTCCTGTGAGCCCACTAAATGCCTGTCAGAAAAAGATGCTGTATGCAAAATTTTTGCATAACTCTGTATCAGTTTTATATTAGAGCATCCATGCAGAGACTCCAATTCAGAATCAATACCTGAAATAGATTCACAATAATTCCCTCTAGAAGTAGGAGTCAACATTTCAGAACATTGGGGACCCTTCTTATGAGGATCAGAGGTAGTTTCAACATTGCAGATAGGCTTCTGAAGCTCATTTCCCTTTTGGTGATGCATTTGAAATGGCTTCAAAGAACAGAGCTTTTTTTCAACTTTGACAATTGCACATTCTCCAAATCTTCAGCCTGTAGCCATATTATACCAACGAGTAAATAGAGGATTAGAAAAAGTTTAAAGCGGAAAGCAATATCAACGCAATAAATTTGCAAGCCAAAGTAAAGTGTTAAACATGACGATAGAAGAGCATAAAAGGAATCATGCATTTCAAACATGGAACTGAAGTATAAAGCACTCTCCAATCCAACCAGGAAAATTTCAAATTTATACAGAATTGCATCAACCAGTGATTGTTTAGGAGCCAAAACAATTAAATAAGCCTCATCCAACATAGACAGAAACAAAAAGAGTGGGAGCAAGGATAAAAACATTTTTTTGTTTATTCTCCACGGGACAATTTTTTCTCTGTACTTTCTCTTTTTTTCTATTTCACAGGATGGGGTTTGAGGAGACCTACAAAATGGTTTTGTGGTTCAATAAACAAATGCAATGCAGATCCATGTGGTAAAAGTAGTATTAACTATATTAAGAGCAGACACAAGCTCTACCCACCAGGTAATAACACTAAAAGAGCCATCAGCTAACTTGTGTCTGAGAAAAACAACCAGTAGGAAAGACAGTATGAAACTCCAAAACCTGTATGCTATTTATCAAAAAATAAATTTATGATTACGATTCAGAACAAGAAACAATTCAGAGATTTTAGAATAGAGGTATAAGTGCTTTGATAAAGCAAACCAACCTTTTCCAGGTCATTTATACCTTCCAACCTGGGAGAGAAACAACTATCCAGTAAAGTTAGCCGATAAGAAAATTGAACAAACTCCAGTTTCAAGCGACTTAATTCTTCTTGCAGCACATTATTGCGATATCTTTCCATCTTAGCCACTGTTTTGGCATGCTTCACTCGCATTTTTTCCAACTTCAGCTCTTTCTTCATAATTTTCATTTTGGCAATTCCTGCATCTCTGTCTTTGCCAGGTGAAGCAGCAAAAGTCTCAACCACTCTTCTAGAGGGTGCAAGCTCACATATCTGCTTCTGCATATCCTCAATCTTTAATCTAGCTTCTTTCAACTGCTCAGATAGACAATCAGCACGACATTTTTCTTCCATGACCTTTCTCCTATTTATTTCAGCAAGCCTCTTTTGCTGTTCCATTTTAACCATATCTGATTCTGCATGTTCCTTCTTGCTAATGGCCTTCTGGTCATCTATCTCCTTCTGCAGTTCCTCAATCACTCGTCTGGCTTTTTCCAACTGCAGAGACAAATTCCCAGCCCATAATTGTTCTTCATCAGCTTTCTTCTTATTCACTTCTGCAAGCTTCCTTTGCTCCTCTGCTTTAGCCATCTCAGAATCTGCACGTTTTCTCTCTTTGATTGTCTTTTGCTTCTCTGCTTCAAGCTTTTTTATCACTTCTTCAAGCTTTGAAGTCCGAGAGAGCAATTCAGATTTCGCTTCACTAGCTTCCTTTCTCAATGCCTCAAACTCCACTCTACAGTCTTCAGCCTTCTTAACAATAGCCTTCTGGCCATCTATCTTCTTTTGAAGTTCCATATTAGCTCGTCTAGCCTCTTCCAGCTTCAGAGAGAAATTCTCAGCATGTGATTGTTCTTCTTCAGCCTTCTTCCCATTTACTTCTGCAAGGTTCCTTTGCTCCTCTGCTTTAACCATCTCAGAATATCCACGTTTTCTCTCTTTCATTGTCCTTTGCTTTTCTGCTTCAAGCTTTTTTGTGACTTCTTCAAGCTTTGAAGTCTCAGAAAGCAATTTTGTTTTTGCTTCACTAGCTTCATTTCTCAAAGCCTCCAACTGCATTTTATAGTCTTCAGACTTATTTTCATCAATTTGGGAGACCTCTATTTCCTCATCAGCCTGAACCCTCTCAGCCTTCTTGCTAACAGGCTGCTGGTCATTTATCGCCCTCTCCTGTTCCTTAATATTCTGTCTAGCCTCTTCCAATTGCAGAGACAAGTTCTCAGCCCGTAATTGTTCTTCTTCAGCCTTCTTCCTATATACTTCTGCAAGCTTCCTTTGCTCCTCTGCTTTAGCCATCTCATAATCTGCACGTTTTCTCTCTTTGATTGTCGTTTCCTTTTCAGCTTCAAGCTTTTTGGTCACTTCTTCAAGCTTCGAAATCTCATAGAGCAATTTAGATTTGGCTTCTCTAGCTTCACTTCTCAATGCCTCCAACTTCATTCCTTGCTCTTCAGCCTCCTTTCCTTCAATTTGAAAAGCCTTCATTTCCTCATCAGCCTTGGCCTTTTCAGTCTTATTGATAATAGCCTTCTGGTCATCCATCTCTTTTTGCTGTTCCTTAATATGTTGTCTAGCATCTTCCAATTTCATAGATAAATTCTCTGCCCGTAAAAGTTCTTCTTTAGCCTTCTCCATATTAACTTCTGCAAGTTTCTTTTGCTCCTTTGCTTTAGCCATCTCAGAATCTGCTCGTTTTCTCTGCTTGATTGTCTTTTGCTTTTCTGCTTCAAGCTTCTTGGTCACTACTTCAAGCTTCTTGGTCAAGTCTTCAACCTTTGAAGTCTCAGAAAGCAATTCAGATTTTGCTTCACTAGCTTCATTTCTCAATGCTTCCAACTGCATTTGATAGTCTTCAGCCATCTTTTCTTCAATTTGGGCAGCCTTTCTTTCCTCATAAGCCTTATCCTTCTCAGCTTTCACAAACTTGTCCCTTTCAATTGCCCTTTTTTTCTCTGCCTCAGCAATCTTCTTTTCTGCATCTGCCCTCAGCTTCTCTCTCTCAACGAGTTCTTTCAGCTGACTGATTTCTTTCTCCCCTTCAGAAACACGTACCTCAAGAAGGTTTATTTTTTCAATCTTATCCTTTTCAGCTTTCTTCCTCTCTGTCTCAACAGTCTTCCTCTCCATATCTGACATTAATTTCTCTTTCTCAAGAACCTCCTTAAGCCAGGTTATCTCCTTTTCTCCATCAGCAACACGAATTCGTAGAAGCTTTAGTTCTTCATTTTCATCCGAAGCATCTGTTTTGGCCTGCAATACAGCTATCTCAGACTTCAAAACAGATACCTCATTCTCTAGAAGAGCTCTCGTGGATGATTCTTTCTCCCTGCTCTCTTTCTCAATGACTACACGAGCTTGCTCATCCTCATATGCTGCCAAGTAGACCGTTACAAATTAGCTCTAAAAATTTCAAAACTACAGTCATTCAAGAAAAAACCTATACCCCAATAGAAAAACACATGCACGCATAAATTCAGAGTAACAATCCAATGAGAAAGCCTCCAAAAACAACATCCCAGGCCATTTGTAAATCCTACAAAATTCTCCTACCAAGTCAGATTAAGTCACAATACCACAAATTAATTCACCATATATCTACCAACATGGTCCACAAAGAAATCACTATATTGATCCTCCGTGGTCAGTAAAAACATACATAAAATAAATTACAAAGAAAGGCTACATCACTTCTAATAAAGGCGGGATTTTCAAATCAAATTATCTAATTGAATTTTCCATTGAATCTAACCAAAAATCTAATACCTCTCAAACGTAACAGATTAATCAAAACCCTAATGAATCCTTTTTTTAACAAAAACCTAACAAATTATAAGCACACGATGGGGAAGGGGAAAAAACAGAAATAAAAAAAATAAAAATAAAAATAAAAAAAGAAAATTGTCAAGGTTTTACCTTCCTTGAGCCTGGCATTATCGGCTTCAAACTTGTTTACTACCGACTGGAGGATACTAATAGTCTTACGCAGTGCAACCCGCGCTTCTTCCGACTTCAAACACTTATCTTTCCACTGAATTAAAGACAAAAGAAATTAAAACAAAAATTAAATAAAAACCAAATTACACATTTCCCGTAAGCAAAACATAAATGCAAGAGGAAATCAATACCGCTTGGCAGCAGGGATTCACTGCCGCGGGCTTCACTGAAACACTCGCGGCCATTGATTCGGTCCAGAGAGACTTTACGTATTCACGGCTTAAATCTCCATGAAAGGTGTCTTGCTAATTCGCACCCACTCAAAGAATAAAAAATTACTTCGAAGTGCAAAAACCCTAAACCCTAATCCTCCACTGAAGTGACTCTTGCAGGAAGATGGATAGAACAGAAAAATGCGGAGCGAACTAGAGATGGGCACGGGTCGGGTCGGGTCGGGCATATAAACTCGGATTAGATTTAAATAGTTTTAAAAAGTTTTAAAGAATAAATTTTGATAATTTATTTAAATTTAAAAAATTAATAATAATAAATTTAATTATTAATTAATACCATTTTTTAATTTTTTTAATTAATTAATCAATTAAATTTATTTTTTTAATTAATTTTTTCCATAAAAATTAAACTAAAATTTTGAATTTGAAGGAAATAAAACATATTGTGACCAAATTATAAGTAAAAAATATTAAAAACTAAATTATAATAAATGTTAAATTTTTTATATTAATTTAATTTCATCTGTTTTATTTAAAAAAATTATAAAATATTTTAAAAATAATTAAAATTTAATTAAATAAACTTATTTTTATTAACTTTTAATTCGCTATTATAAAAATTTACACACAAAAAATACTAAAAGTTATATATATTATATATATATGTATGTATGTATACTAACCTTTATTATACTTCAATTCATTGAAAACCTTTATAAGGATGCATTAAGAACAAAATACTAAAAAAAAAATTCTAATTACACCTACATTGTATATATTATTTTTAAAATTATTTTCCAAACATGTAAGTATATTTCACAAAATTTATGATATTTGTAAGCAAACGAAACATTACCGATACTAAAATTTCATACACCCTTAATGTCACGATAAAATATGGGACTTATTTTTAGATATACAATATCGATAGTAAAAGAATCTATAGAAATTCATATATAATTATATAATTAAATTTTGCGAGATTGAAAAAACAAGTAAAGAAGAAAGAGTCTCTCATCCTATAACTCCTATGTCACCATGAGTATACTGTATTTTTTCCTTATCTTACTAAAATATCGAAACATAAT